TTCGAAAGCAACACTGGTATGGAGGAGAGCATGGTACTTGTTAAGACCGTATTTTGACAACTTGCTCTTTGAATTCTATGTCACTCAAACGATTTCAAGTCCATAATTCCATTTCTAATTTTCTCGACAGGCGGCTCTTGAATTCCTAGCTAGTCTATCCCGACGAGCAAATGAAGCGACACAAAAATCCTACATCGAGGGATACAATGTAAGTAATTAACTCGGCGCTTCACAAAAAAAAAAACTCTTAGACTCCCACAATCAGCCACCCCCACTTTTGCTAGCAGTGTGTCTATGTAATGTTTAATGCAGATATGACATTCATCCATGCTACTTCTGTTCCGCGTTCGTTTACGTTCGTTTGTTATTTTCTTTTTTCGTACTCTCAGACCGTCAGACGGAGAACCTTACTTGATTCACAAAAACCTGTCCCAATTATATTATATACATCTTATTAACCAAGCGCGAGGGCTGTACTGGGAGAATATCGGCCCGAGGTCTTGAATATTGACCGGCAATAGAGCATTTTGATTGGTTAATTTTAGTTATTGGCCCTCTTACTGCCCGAGTCGTGTAATAAAATTCCTTATTCATTCCATTGTCACTCTGTAGGGTGAGGTTCCACTTGAAAGTCTCGGGAGACTCATCCGCCAGGTAAGCTTTGTTATAACTTTTATCTTAACCTCTTTTCTTACAAGAATTACTGAAGATGTAGGTCGTCTTATTTTGTAGGAGGTGGTGCTATTCTGGGAAGAGAAAGCTCGAGGAAAAGGAAAAGAGCGGGACTTGTTCTTGTTCGAGAAAGGAATTGTAAACACGAAAAGAAAAGAAGGAGGAAGAAAGTTCATCTTTAAAAACGTGCTGAAGGTATGATATCACCAACTGTTTAAACTTTCAAACTCCTCTCGGATTTTTGTCCAACTTTTTACAAGTAGAAACAATAAGAAATATTGCCCGAGCCACGCCCTTGCTCATTTTTTTCTATCGTTATATTCCATTAGTTTGGTTACTGTATTTGTTACCGTGATTCACTGATATTTGTGACCGTGATTCACTGATATTTGTTACCGTGATTCACTGATATTTGTTTGATCACTCATTTTAAGGTCGGTGAAATTCTTGTTCATCAAAATGGTAGTAAATACTTGGTAACACGGTCCTATCGTCGTTCGTTAAAATTGTAAGTTAATAAGCCACATTCTTATTCTTTAGCTGACAAGTGGTAATGTTGGTCTGACTGAACATGTTGAAGGTGGTGCCCGTCAGTTCATGGTGTGGGTGGGTACTTCCATCACCACTGCTCTGGTACTCCATACCTTTGAGGTAAGATGATACAGCTGCTTTGTGAATGATGTTCAAGGGAGAAGGCAAAAACTGTCTGCTATTCTTGTGGTGTAATCGTACGGGTAAGGGTGTTCCTGAAAAGTGACTGAGGGTTCAACAGCCTCGGTTGAAATCTTCATCGGTTGTAAGTGTAGAGTCGTTTGTAAGTCGACTGTGATGGATTTTTATAGTGATAATATTGGACTCACAATGCCGGAGCTAAATACAGAGCGTCTTAAAGCGATAGCGAGAGAAAAAAAGTGAATTTATTTCTAAGTCTTAATTGGTGGAAATTGTTTTCTGCCTCTGCTATTTCAGACAAAGACCGAGTGGTCCAAACAGGTCTGGGTTCGAGAAATTAAAAGGCTATTACATCTGAGTGAAAGTAAGTTCAAGTTTAAAACAGATTTTTCCCGTTTTCTTTTCGTTTCTTTTTGTTTGTTTTCGTTTCCTCGGCTCACAAACGCTTAACTCTTTCAGAATCACTAATTACTGCTGTTGCACCATCTCTGATGTTTGGTGAACTTGAAGTTCAGTTACCGAGTGCTTCATCTACAGAGGGAAATCTGGTGACTACAGTCAAAGAAACTATCACCAGTCCTTCTTACTCGCATTTGATTGCTGAGCTTGAAAAACAGTACGTGGCCATCACACCACCAGACTCGCCTGAACCTCAACGTCTGGTAAGAGAAATGATAGGATCGAATCACGTACGTAGTTTTTCGGTTTGTTGCCAGCTGCTTTCTTCTTCTCTTTAAAGTAACATAGCAACCTGCCATTCGCTCGTTGAATTTCCAGGGTTAATTTAGTTGGATACAGAGACAGTTTGACTGATTGGGCGTGGCCTTTTTTTAGGGACATTTTTGATAAGAGAAATAGTCTGTTTTACAATGTGGTCTGTCTCAGTGGACCATAGGGAGGCGTGTGCCTGTCAGATGATCACTAAGGAGGTTTCAAGTTGCAATTAGAAGCTCACGATTCACGCATGATTGTTGCTCGTAGAACATTCAACTAGGAGGCACCTATCACTTGTCCGAAGAAACACTGGAAAGAGATACACATGAGCGGGTAATCGGCCGCGGTGAACAAGTACGGGTGCTCCGCTCAGGCCGAGATCTCTACTTCGTGCAAACGGTCAAAGACAGAGAAACCAAAGAGGGCTGGGTTCCTGGAAGCTGGTTGCTAGAAAGAGGATTTGAAGACCAGATTGCGGGTGCTCAAATTCAGCTAGAGCTGGAAGCTGGTTTAGAGGATGATATTCCACAAGATTTGAGTTCAGAAGCGTCCGAACCGGAGCTGCAACGGCTCAAAGAAACTGGAGAAGGTAAATATGTTTTTCATTCATTCCTTCAGCCGACAATAAATGATAAATGCAAATGAACGCAAGTGATGTCTACTTTTTGAGTAACTAGTAGGCTTAATAGATCCAGGAAGCAGTAATCTTAGTTTTAAGCGCTGTTCGATTTGGCGAGTCTACACGACGTGACTTTTTTCTTCATTTTAGGACATTTGTTACTAACATTACATAAGCTCTATTACAACACACAAGCTTCAGTACATCACTTGCGATACATTACTTAGAATGAGCTGCTTACGATGAAATCCTATTTTATAATCAGATACCATTTACAATGCTAACATTAATCGAAATTACATTGCTGACATAACTAACATCAGGTTCATTATTTTGAATATGTTTAAAAAGAGTGTCTTGGTATACTCGCAAAATATGATCGAATGTTCATCAATTTCTCGTGATAGATATTTATTTTACCTCTTTCATTAGCTATTTGATACTCTTGGGATCTCAGATGTTTCATTTTGGATTAAATTAAAAAAAAAAAAAAACACTAAATGTTGGTTTTGTCACAACGTGACCTGACGGCGAAATAAATTTACCTTTGATCCCCCTCACCTTGTGTCTATGAATATCTCCAAACAAACACGAGTCTTTGGATTAACAACTTTTAAAAAAGTTCAAGCCAGTTTTGTTGTCTCTCCATTCACGCAAGTCGAGGTATTCTTTGTTTAAGGATTCAATTAACAATGTAAAATGCTTTAATCTCTAAATGCGATGAATCTTGACAATTTCTGCTTGTTTCTAAGTGCTACATAATAATGTTCTTAAAGGATTATAAACCTTGGCTCGACTTTCGCTCTTGGAACGTTTCAACGATCTCGCGACTCCGTGGGATGGGTTATGATAACAGAAAATAAATAAATTTCAGGGCAAAAAATTCATAAAACTTCAATCGCAGTGTACTCTCAAATGATAACGCCACAATCAATTTAAGCGGTTTAAAAGGTATTGTTTCAAACAATAGTATACATGGTTAGCATCCTTATCCTTCGGTCGCGCCTCGTTGGTTCTGAATTACTGGGAATATTAATTATGGTAATTCTGTTTTTCATCTGTAAGTGATTAATGCAGTGGAATTCACATCGCTCATCGGTGGAAATTATGAATTTATGCTCTATACTCGAAAGGGTTATTTGATGCAAAATAATTGACTTAGTTGGAGTCACACAGTGTATTATTTCAAAAAAGGCACGAACTGTTTTCGGGTGAAGTCGGTTTTCAAATGTCTTCACGGCCAACCCTTTCATCCTCTCGAAGCTATGTGTCTTCATCAGCCTCTGGGACTCGATCATACGAGAGAACATCACGAATTCGCGAACATTCGGCGAGCGAACGAAACGAAGGGCGACCGAGAAGGCGACGAGGTAACAGAGACGCAGTTATTTTTTTGTGATGTTCGCGTTGAAGACTTCTTTAGTTGAGTATTTTGTTAGCAGAAGGTTCCGAAGAAAATAGGTTATGAGTAACTTTGAAAAGTAAGAATTAATAGTACGTACATCCAACAGTGACAACCATAATTTATCCAGTACAACTGAAATGGTAAAATGCAATTATGATGTACCATCTTTAGAGCGTTTTCATCTGCAAACTAAATTGAATCGTGATGAAGTCATTCACAGACATAAGACATCCGACAAATATTGGACCACTCAAACATAAAACAAATTTTTTTGTTACAATAAGTATCACTTTGACCCCGTAGCTCAGCCGAAGTTTACAGAGGAACTTGAAGACATCGAAGTTTGTGTCGGCCAACCTGCCAGTCTGCGCTGTCGAGTGGAAGGAGATCCTTTCCCAGACATAGAATGGTTTGTAGATGATGACAAAATCAAGAAAGGGGGAAGATTTGACTTTCTCAGTAACGGAGACCTTGTTACTCTGAAAATTTCCGAAACAAGTGCCGAAGACGAAGGAGAATACAAATGCACAGCCACGAATGAAAACGGAATGGCTTCCACAAGTGCTGAGCTCATAGTAAATGGTAAGTCCCTCATCCATTTAACTGATCTTTGTTTTCTTTGCGGCTCTTTTATGGTTGACTGCTAAGTGTCATTAAAATTTGTCCTGTCGTGGATGTTTTCACTATGTACGATAATTATTGAAAGCGCAAATAGTGTCGTAGGAATGTACACGGGTTATTTTTAACTTTGACATGCCAATTTACTTCAAAGCTCAGCAGAAGCTTACTAAAATTTGGCCTTTGTTCTTTAATTGCTTTTTTTTTTTCACGACACTTCCTTGTGGATGCAATATGGATCAATCGTTCCAAAGTTATACGTCAAAGTTCGCTTTTGTGCCTGCGTCTTCTTCATTAGTCAGTAATCGAGGTCACGAGAAATGCTCCATTAACTCGACCAATGCCTCTTGTGCCGAGAAGGCAGCCTTACATTTCAACGACAGTGAGCCTTGTTTTCAATCTGCTCGTTCTTTTGTATTAAATATTCATTTTATTCTCACACGGAGACGGAACTGAGGAACAAGTTTATTTTGTGCCCATATGAAAAGTCCTTGGAATTTTGTGGTTAACATTTCGAATGCTCTTTTAAAGGGTCTTGTGACGGTTAAGTTAAGCTGGACGGCAGGGTGCCTAGCTGATTAACATCAGTATCGATTATGCCATAATTTCTTCATATATGAACTACTTGAAGAACTCAGCTAAAGTTTATGCTTTGACTTGTAGTGCTGAGATGTTAAAATACAACTGATGCTGGGTTAAATTGATAGTAGAATTTTTCAACACGATTGGCCGTCATCGGATGGTTTTGGCCGCGCCACCCTTAAAAGGAATGTGGATCCTTTTGAAGATAACTCTAACTGCCTTTTGTTACACTCGCGTTACACAGTGACTCTTACGAAACTGTGACGCCGATCATTTGTTGGCCTAACAGTGGCTTACACCAAGATCTCGCAGTATGCTCGTGTTTTTCGGCTTACATTAAGTTACATTGTGAGATAGATTTCTCGTAAACAGTTTCTTTGGTCGACCTTAATGGAGTTGAATCTGAAACATCTCCAGCATATGTAGACCAAACCAATTTCCCCTAATACCTGTTCTTTTGTTCAGATAAGGACGTAAAACACTTATACCCTCTATTTACACTCGATTTTTCTTAGTGACTCTGATAAAATAAAGATTCGAGAGACGTAAATTGAAATTAGCTGAACAGACATGTGTTGTTGATATGTTTCTTGCGTGACATGCTAATCTGGCGGCATAAGTATGGTCCTTTTATCTAAAGGTAGCTTTTTTTAAGGCCATTTACATTTATTAAACCAGCTTATCAAAATAAGTAAATTACACGCAGGGATCATAGGTTAAAATCTCTATAGTAAATAGCACTTTTTCTGGCAGCGGGATTTTTTCTTTACGTTATTATTTATCCGGTATCAGTCTTAACTGGAGGATGCCCACTAAAAAGAGTAAGTCATAGATTGTCATTTGAGAATCGCGCTACAAATATGATATTAATCCATAACTTGAAAAGGTCAATTTTCACGTTGTAACTGGTGCGCTGTAAACGCGTTCGGTGGTTGATCATCTGTTCTTCACTTTCATGATATGAACAATGCTAACTGCGTGTAGCAAGAGACAGGCCCACTTTAGCACTACCATTAATATTGAAACCTTGGTTTTTCGGTCAAAATATGTTATTTTGGCGATATGACTTCAAACTACTGGAAGGCTTCATGTTAGCTGTATGACAAAATCGATAAATTGTTTTCTATGTTGAACTGCTAAATTACACTTTGGATTTTCAAGGGCTTATTTGAAAACATCATTAAAGAGGCGTTGGTGGCTTAGAGGATAAGGCTTGTAAATGGCAAGGAACAGCAGATTATGGTTAAAAGGCTTTTATCCTGCGCTGCAAACCAGACAATAAGCAACCTTAGTTAACGCATTTGTTGTGAAATGACTTGAAGATCTAAAGGAACCTTTCTGGCGCCTCATTTACGGCTTACTTAGGGCGAGAAATTTTCTTTTGGTTGAACATTATACGTATTTTTCATGGTTATGCGAGGATAGAAATGTAAGTATTTTCCACATCACTTATGCACGTGACACCGAGATACAGGTCTATTCAAAGATTTCTCTGTACAGGTCGTCGCAGATTCATCCAATTCATAATGTCGTATGTTATGTTCAAACAGCCCTGGAAACGTTAAATAGCCTAAATTCTGATGGATGTTAAATCTAAACACTTAAGTTAAAACAGGTGTCTTTAAATAAGAGAAGTAACGTATCCAGGCGCCTTCTTTTGTAACTTGATAGGACAACTTGTGTCGAACTGGAGAAGATCACATCACTGGCCTGTACTCTACAGTAAGACCCATCTGTGGTCGACTAATATGAAGGCTTGCGTAGCCTCGAAAAATAGTTTTAATTTGTTGAATTGATGGCTCGCTCACTGTTTATCGACCATCTTATCAATTAGAGAGCCTCTGACTTTTTGCTATTTTTTACTTGTCAAGTTCCTGAACTCATCATAAATCAAATTGACTTTATTTTGACTTGTCACTTTAAACATCTTTATTCTTGCAAATTTTTGTCGCGTTGTACGATAAGATGAACATTCCAGATGGTTGACCTCGTACAATTCTTTTGAGCTGATTTGCCATGATGTCTGTTTTAAATTTCTGTTTGAAGTTTCTGTGTGAAGTCATAAAGATTTTAATAAGTTGGTTTTCAAGAGACAAACGTTCTTTTTACATTATTTGTTACCAATTGTCCATAATCGTGTGGGCAATTCATTACAAATGTAATGAGAGGTTACCATAAGTAGATAAAACAATTATATGTTTTTTTAGTGTGATAATTGAAATAATGGCATGAAGATAACTCATAGTTCAAAGTCGATATTGTGATTATTTTTCCTTTTCTCGCAATGTGTTTCACTCTCATTAAGGTTACTAAGAGAAGAAGAGTTTCGCGAAAGAGTTGAAGTTGTAGATTCGTTTATTCGCGCGGTTGTATCAGTATTGCGACTAATGATATGCTGATATCGAGAGGTAAAAATGCGAGGAAAGCGCAGAAACTAATGATATGCTGATATCGAGAGGTAAAAATGCGAGGAAAGCGCAGAAACTAATGATATGCTGATATCGAGAGGTAAAAATGCGAGGAAAGCGCAGAAACTAATGATATGCTGATATCGAGAGGTAAAAATACGAGGAAAGCGCAGAAACTCTTTACATGGTTCTCAAACAGACTGCATCGTATGATTTGACCAGCTGCGACTAATTCTTGGTTTAAAACTGGAATTTTTGCAAGAAACATTTCGTTAATGTCCACAGACATTTTCTCTCAAGCCCATAGGTGAAGAATGTAAAGGAGTGTTGAAAAAAATTTGATACTTAAGGTTCACGGATACAATTATTACACCGCTGTTATTTGGTTCAAGTTTAGTTTCCATCTTCCAATGACAATCTGGCCTGTTTTACTTTCAGCTCCAGCGAAAATCGACAAAGCTCCCAAGTCTCAAACGGTCAGTGTCGGGGATGTGGTTTCTTTCAAGTGTGAAATTTCTGGAAATCCCATCCCGACTGGAACTTGGTACAAAGGCAAAAAAGAGCTGAAGGATGAGGGAAGAGTGCTTATTGAAATCGCAGAGGACTTCTCCGAGCTAGAAATTGAAAATGTTGAAACCTCCGACGAAGGAGAATACACCTGCCTGGTGAAAAACGACTTTGGAGAGGACACGTGCTCAGTGACTCTTACTGTGAAAGGTGGGAATGGTGTCGGGTATTCGGATCAACCTTTCCATAGCACTTGTCATGACATGTTGATATATGCGGATGTATGTGTTATGTGAGATGTATGTTATGTGAGAGTTCGTGACTAGTGCACTATCTTCAAGTGTAGATAAATGCCATGAACGGAAAATCGTAACTTTTTATCGATTTGCACTTTTAGATCCCGAAGTGTAAACAATCTTAGAACTTGAGAGGTACAAGAATATTAACCCATCCAATTTGATAGTTTTTTTTTTTTTTTCCTACTTTTCAGGCGGGGGAGATGTCAATGAAAACAATGTCGATAAAGGTGGTGATGAAGCTGTAGCCAAAGGTAAGAAACTGGAAAGCTTGTAAACACAGGCGTAGTGATAACACTCCTCTGTCTGACACCCATTCACACACTATGACTCTTTCCAGACGATGACGGTGATGGTGAGAGTGACGTAGAAAGCAAGGACCTTGACCTTCCGCTTCGAGATCCAGTCTTCCTGCGGACGGATAAGAAATTTGACGATACTTACGTGTCTCAGAAAGAGCTCGGAAAGTAAGTTCATTTCTTTTGTCTTTTTAGGATCTTCCTGTATTTTTATTTTACCCTCTGTCTGAATTAAGCGTTGAAATTCTTCGTCAGTGGTGCTGGCTAATTATTTACTCAGGTAAAACAAATACACTCACTTGTAGTGAGATGACAACCGTCTCTTGTATATTTTGTGTCTGGCATATGCTTGTCCAAAGGATTTGGTTGTCTAATCGGGACACTGCAGTGCTTTAAAACTGATAAGTTGCTTAGTTTTCTATTGCTACTGTCCTGACTTCTTTCTCTTTCTCCTCTCCGCCAAGATATTCCGTCCTGTAAACAGCAAAAAAATATTTACTATTTTAATTTCCAGGGGCAAATTTGGTGTTGTCAAAAAAGTTAAAGAAAAAAGCACTGGGACGGAATACGCCGCCAAGTTCCTAAAAATCACCAAGGAATCAAGAGAAGAAGTTCTGGCAGAAATGCTTATCATGAATGAACTGCACAGTAAACGGCTCATCTACCTCCATGATGCATACGAGAGACCAAAAGAGATGATTATAGTCTTGGAACTGTGAGTGAAATTAGTGTTGAGAATTACTTTGCTCAATGGTGGAAAAAGGAAAGATAGTTACAATACTAGTATGAGACCTAAACTAATTCTATTAGATATTTCAGCACTATGATGTTAATGGTTTTCAAGAAATTATAATTTGTAGATTATACGAATTTGGTTTGTTGATGTCTTTACAGAATGTCAGTTTATTGAAATGAACCAGAACAGAAACATTAAGATAAATGTCGTTCTTTCAGCTCATTAATGAAAAAAGACGAGAAAGTTATAAATATTTTTATATTTTCAACAGAATACATTAAGATAAATGTTGTTTCTTTCAGCTCATTAATGAAAAAACCGAGAAAGTTATAAATATTTTTATATCTCCTGTGTCTTTTTTCTTTTCAGGATCTCTGGAGGCGAGCTGTTCGAGAAAGTCTGTAATGATGATAACTTAACCGAGAAAGAAGTTGTGCGGTACATGAAGCAAATACTGCAGGGCGTTGAACATATGCACAGGAAACGTATTGTCCATTTGGATCTTAAGGTGAGGAGAAACTCCTTTGGTCATCTTAGAGAGCTGCACGATGGTTGCGTAAGTTGAATTTGAGCGGTCACAAAGAAGGGCTTTGTGCAGTAAATGGTTTGAACCCGGGGGTAACATGTGCAGGTGTAGTCTGATCGTCCGGGTGAGTGTAGTCCTGAGAAGGACTGTTGTCGGTGGTAGTGACTGACGTTTCGACAACCTGTGCGGAAGTCATCATCAGAGTCAAGTGAATGATTGTTGTCAGTAGAATGTTCTTATTCCAGTTCGTGTGAAATGATCGGTTGGTTTTGCCGTGATGTTATTGGCTGTAAGACTCAAGTGACGTAAGTCGGTCGTGATTGGTCTGTTTCGATCTGTCGGTAAAGTTAGGTCGTTCTTTTTCGGTCGTTTGTGATGTTTATGTCGTGAATGAGTCATTTGTATGGAGCGGGTAGTTGTTGACATCTGTTTAGGGGAGTCTGTTCTAAGTTAGTAAACCAGCTTTCCAGAGTCAGTCGTTGAAAATAGTCAGTGCTGTAGGTTAGGCATTGCGCAGAGTCCCAGTCAATGTTGTGGTTGGTAAGTCGATGGTGTTCAGCAATGTGATTGCTGACATCACCTTTCCTCGTCGCCCGTCTGTGTTCAGTCAGTCTTGTTGTGAGGTTTCTGCCAGTCTCACCGATGTAGGAGGCTTGGCAGTCGGAACAATTGATCTTATAAATCGTTCCCTGTCTGTTCCTCGGTTCGTCTTTGTCTTTAACGTTGGTTAGTAACTGACGTAGTGTGGTGATGGGTTTGTGGGCGACGCGGATATTGAAGGGTAGTAAGATGCGCGAGATGTTTTCAGACATGCCTTTTATGTACGGTATGGTTGCTGTAGTCGTAGGGGTTGCGGTGNTTAGAACAGACTCCCCTAAACAGATGTCAACAACTACCCGCTCCATACAAACGACTCATTCACGACATAAACATCACAAACGACCGAAAAAGAACGACCTAACTTTACCGACAGATCGAAACAGACCAATCACGACCGACTTACGTCACTTGAGTCTTACAGCCAATAACATCACGGCAAAACCAACCGATCATTTCACACGAACTGGAATAAGAACATTCTACTGACAACAATCATTCACTTGACTCTGATGATGACTTCCGCACAGGTTGTCGAAACGTCAGTCACTACCACCGACAACAGTCCTTCTCAGGACTACACTCACCCGGACGATCAGACTACACCTTCACAAGAAGGGCTTTGTTAGCAAACATTTGGGGTAGTCCACTTTTGAGATAAACAGTGCGGACACATGGAAATACATTTCAGACGCTTTTATTTGAACAGATTCATGAGCAATAATTAAAGTTTTAGCATAGGGGTTCATACTGTAGTCTTCCCTTTCTTCTCAGCCTGAAAATGTACTTTGTGTCATTCGCCCTGATGGTAAGGAAGATCTTAAGTTGATTGACTTCGGAATGGCTCGTGTACTTGAACCAGGAAAAAGCGTCAAAGTGGCCTGTGGTACGCCCGAATTTGTAGGTGAGTCAACAGCGCATCGAGTAAAATGAATTTACTAACCTTAGTCAATAAGAGGGCCATGGGTGGTACCCCCTTAGGTAGACTTGAAATGAGTACCTTTCAGGATATTTCTTTTTTTTAGTGGTTAATTATTCAATATATTTTTATACTTTTAGCACCCGAAGTGATCAGTTACGAAGCTATCAGCCTTGCTAGTGACATGTGGTAAGAGAAACGTTTACATTTCTAAATCTTTGTTTGCTCAGTAAAAGAAAAAAACCTTACACCAATGTAAAGCTGACAGATAACTTAACTAAAGTATCCCTTTTTTTTTTTTTTTTTTTTTCATTTTCTGTTTTCTTTTGCAGGAGTGTGGGCGTCATAGCTTATGTTCTGTGAGTATAACTTTCCTATTTTCCCTTTCTGTCGCACAGCTCACCGTTGTACTCGTATACATCACTTTTTAAGGGTAATTTTGTATGGTTATTTTTAATTATGTATCGATCTGTGCTGCCTTATTTTTCACTTACCTAAAAAAGGCAGTAACGATACTTAGCTACTGATGGCAGACTGTCACTCAAATACCATGTCATTTTTTCCTTTTTTTTTTTAATTATTTTGCAGGCTGAGTGGTCTGTCACCCTTCATGGGAGACGATGACAATGAGACCATACAGAACGTGTCCACTGCTGAGTGGGATTTTGAAGACGAGGCTTTTGATGTCGTGTCAGACATGTCCAAGAAGTTTATTGAGGAACTGCTCATCAGAGGTCCCGAGTAAGTAATTCTAGATACTGCTTGACTTTCTTGTAAAGTACAACGTAACAATCGATACCATGTTAATGAAGGATGAGTTTGTAATGCTCACAGTCTCGGACATGAAAGAGAGATCTGCTGAGAAGCTTTCATTTTTAGGTAGCCTGCATGTCTTTAGCGATTTTTCATATGAGGACAATATTTTGGCCGTAGGTTTATAAGTGTTCAAGGAGATTGGGGAGGAGTGTACACACTGAAGTGCTTATCCCCTTAGAACAACATTGCCTCTAGCCTACAATTTTAATGACAGACCCTTAAGTGAAATCTTCATGATGTTACTTAGTTAATGGATATTTGGTATTAAATTCTTAGGAAGAGAAATGATGTTTTCAAATGTATGAACCATGATTGGTTGAAGGTACGAGTGCAGATTTTTTCCTCTATATTACCAGGAGCCCATTACCTATTACTTTATCTCGTGTGTGTTATTGTAATTTTTGAGCCTTCCACCCTCCATCTCCCTCTTTTCCTCTGCCATTGTTTGACTATTCCAATTAACGTTGCTGAGGTAAATGCCTCTCTAGTACGGGTCCATGGTATCACGTTGCTAAGGTAAATGCCCCTGTAGTACGGGTCCATGGTATCACGTTGCTAAGGTAAATGCCCCTCTAGTACAGGTCCATGGTATCACGTTGCTAAGGTAAATGCCCCTCTAGTACGGGTCCATGGTATCACGTTGCTAAGGTAAATGTTCCTCTAGTACGGGTCCATGGTATCACGTTGCTAAGGTAAATGCCCCTGTAGTACGGGTTCATGGTATCACGTTGCTAAGGTAAATGTCCCTCTAGTACGGGTCCATGGTATCTCTGCCTGATAAGATAAGAATAACAAACATAGCTGCTGTTGTGCTCTCCATTAAACCATGACTGAAAGTATTATTAAGAAAAAGAAAAAAAGACATTGTCGTATTGCGTAAAACCCAGAAAGCATGTATAGTGGCATGTTGTTTCAAGGATATGCTTATCTTCCTTTTTTTTTTTTCCCGCAATAGAAAGTCAAAACACTCAAGGCTCAGAAGCTCAGTACGGAAAACTTGAAGAAATTTATTGCACGCCGTCGTTGGGCGGTAAGTGTCTGTCAGTATTTAAGATTCTCCTTGCAATATTTTAGGTGATTATTTTTGTGGTGTTTGGAGACTGAGTAAATATTTATCCCATCCCCCCCTCGAGAGTTTTGTCAGTTCTTTAAAATTTTTATCGCTCATTTCTTTACCCCACCCCCCTCCCCCGCTTCAATATATCATTTCACAACTTGCTCATCCACGAACGGAAGACAACCCAGGCGAAACAAAGTAATCTGTTTGCCTCATTTGTTCCTTGTAGAGAACAGCGAATGCTTTGCGAGCTCTGAGTCGAATGGGATCTCTAGGTGGGCTGATGGCTGGAGGAGGCAAACCTGGTGGCGCAGCTGCTGCCCCTAAAACGGGTGGCTTTCTAAAGAAGGTAAAAGAAGAGAAGGCCAAGGAGGAAGTTCAGGAGAAAGGAGCCAAAGCGGAGCCGAAGAAGGAGCCAGTCAAGAAGGAGGTACCTAAGGAGGAACCGAAGAAAATTTCACCAGGTGATAGCCTCGTACCAGAAAGACGGGGCCTGAGTTATTCAGGTCGCCGAAGTCCCGCCTTGAGTGGCAGGAGAAGCCCGATGTCTCGGGCAGAAGCCCGTAAGTATAGCACTCCTGATCCACATGTTGTAATCATGTTCGTCTTCTTTGTGTTTTGTTGTCAACAGCCAACCAACATTTCATTATCGTAACGGGAGTACTGTTGGGCTATCTTTCCTTTCCTTCTTTTCCACTTTTTTTTTGTCTGGGCTGATTCGGATCCTGTTTGCCGAGAGATAGTATACTCCTATCGGTAGAACTTAATTGAACCGGCTTCTTTTCATGTTCGACTGCAGTCTGTTTTCGAAGTGGGCCACAAATTTTTTCACTTGTCTGTCAAAGAACAAAATCCATTACTACTTAAATCCGCTTTCTTGAGGCGCTTTTACAAAACACCGATTCTCTTTAATCCTATTTCTCCATCCCTTCCCACTAACCTCTTTACAGCTGTTGTCAAAGCAATGAGCCTCGAGCTGTAGTAAAGTACACTGCCTCAATTTGTTTCTTCGCGGTGACAGGTGGCACCAAACTCTTTTGCGACTGACAGCTCGGTATTCATCCCTCCCAAGTCCTGTAATTTTTCTTTATTACTGGTGATTTGGTCATTAAACCGTTTGCTGTAAAGATTATAATCCCTGTGACTCATACAATCCACCTGCGTTAACCATATGGTGTGAACTCAAGCGAAAATGATCAGAACGTGACTCCTCCCGAACTGGTTGAGTGTGTTAATCTTTTTTGAGATAACCCCCCTCCCTCCCTCCTTCCCTCGCTCCCTGATGGAACCTTGATAGTCTACAGGTCCCCATACTCGTTTACGATTCTGGGATAAAAAAGGCTCGGTTCTGTGTAGGTATCACGGTTCACCTTTGTTTTTTGTCTTAAGAGTTCACTTCACGGGCGCCTCAATCATTTTTCATTTGTGCTGATCAGTGTCTCCTTGTGGTGTGCTGTGACGTTGATTTAGAAATATCTCAAGAAATGTTTCAAGTCCTAACCCTGACAGCTTTATCGATTTTTGCAGTTTGATTTTTTTGCCCGCAAACTTAGCTCAGTTGTGATGATTATCAACACTAGTTCATGACCAGTTGTGATTCAGCTTGTAAGTCACATTTAATATCCGGTCTGTTTTCCTGCACTTTAGCCTCAACTTAGATTACTTTACATTTGTAATTGGATTATCCATATTTAGCTCCAAAGGTTATTTTTACACATCCTGATAAAAACGGTGGTTTATTTTTTTCCTCTTTTAAGCTCGGATTAAAACTGTGTATAAATGTCTTGGTGTGAAGTGCTTCTGGCGCCTCTGTGATTCCTTCCTGTTACATGGGATCTAAACACTAAAAAATCAGTGAGCCGTGTGCAAGGCGCTTTTCCAATTCCAGCAACAACGATGTAACTTTTTCCCCCTCGTTCGCTTGCGATTGTAGGACTCTTCGTCCAAACAAGGCAAACTGACTTGCAAACAGTTTACTTTTCTGTGGTTATTTCATGGCCTTCCGCATTTTTCTACTTACACGTTAATGCCAAGGTGTTTTCTTTGAAGACTGTTTCTGACAATATGTAAAAGAAAAATTGCTTCATAATGGTCTTATTGTTGATGTACTTTGACACTTCAAAAGTATCAAGTTTCGTATGCTAATTGAAGGCGGGCGAATTTTTGTCGAAGTTTCGAGAACGTAATACATTTTATAATGCGTCTGGTGCCATTGAAGCGTTGTTTGACGTTTCCTTGAACGATCTCTTTCGACCAGAGTCAGACATACTCCATAGAGAAACTGTCAAATTTTGCTTCATTTAAGCGTTCAGAACGTCTCGCGTGAATTTTAACTTGTCTTGGAGACTGGAACAGATGCTGTTCTCTATTTTTGTGGTTGTTAGTACAGAAGTTATTCAATGCGCGCGGTAGCTGGTTATCACTCCATATGAAGAAACCATGAATCACAGCATTCTGTTGGCCAGGAGATTCTCTTCAACTCGTAATAGCATCAAAAGCACTTTAACAGGTTTGTGTAAAGCGTGTAACTTTGTATTTATCATATAGAAACGTCATTGTAGGAATTGCATGCATATGTGAGCAAGTTTAGCTCTCACAGTTATCAAGGCTAAACCGTCCTCATCTGGCTCCTACCCGCGTTCAATTAAACGTTTGTTTTCCATGAATTATGCCTTTCAAATAGTTTCTCAGTTATTTTTCGTAGGTGAACGTGTTCAGATAAGTTGTTTGAATTTTCTCATTCAGAAAAAGCTTCATGCTTCTTCCAATGTCGGTAACATCATTTAGCGGCGTATCCCGTTACTAAGTTCAATGGGTAACATTTAAAGTTGTCTGGCATTACGTTTTGTAATTAAACGCCTTTCGTTACCCGCGTTAACTTTCGTGGCTTTGTTGTTGTGGGAGCAAAATTATTCCGATTGTCTGCACACGTTGTTGAAAATTTTTTTCCTTCATCTCTTTCATCTTACTCTGTCAGAATAATGAAGATGCTTTTCAAAATGTCAAATATTTTCGTCCGGTTGGGGAAAGGGTTATCGTGAAGATAACAGTGTCTAATTACATGTCAACTGTGTTGCATTCCTTGGGTCGCACAATGTAACTCGCTCTCGTAACCGAGAGGTAGATGCCGAGTTAGTTTAATTTGTCGGCTTATTTTCAGTACTTTGTTCCTTCAAGTGGAAGATAATCTACTTGCCTCTGTGGGAAAAAAAAATTAATATTTCCGGCCTCCAGGTGATGTTGACGTGCTCTACATGTGGGACTGTTGATAGTGTTGTGATGTCCTGGGAGAAAGTTCTCGTTTATTCAAGACATGTTTCATAATTATGGCATGAAAGGCGCCCTCTGATTAGTTTGCATAAATCATTTGACCAAGAAAAATGTCCAATTGAATTGGATTCCATTTGGAAGATGTTGTTTCCTATCATGTTGTGTGGAATAATAGTGAAACCTTGGCCTGTCACGCTGTGTGAAAGAAACTCACTGATAATATTTACTTAAATCATTCCATTGTTTTTCAGTTTGTTTATTTCCTTACTTTTATCTGTCAACTTTCATCAGCTTTTCGTTGTCTTTTGTCTTAAGTAGATAAATGCCTGGGGGTCATCTTAAGTGCTGTTATCGCAATAATGTCTTTTTCAAGATTTCTGTTCTGCTTTCTGTTACTCGCATAAAAGATATTCTTCTTCTTGTTCAGTATGATAATTCCTGAATACTTTCAAAAAGAGTGCACTTTTTTTCTTTTAGAATATAGATGTTTCTTAATATTTTTTGAAATTTCATTGATTTAGTAGTTGATTATTCCATTGCAGCATGTGGTGTTTTTATAAACACATGTCAGATTTTGTCACGTCAAATATCTTTGAGCGCTGTAAACTGACCAGTCCGCTTTCAGATTTTTTCTCTATTCTCCCAACTGTTCCTCTTAATATTTATCTTCATTTAGTGTTGAGAACTTGGTGGTGCATCTCAGCACAATTTTTTCGTAGGTTTTGTTTTATTCTTTCGTATTGTGCTCGTGATGAGAAAGATAATAGAAAAACTTTTTGTTGAATGTCGGTAACTCTGCCTGCGGTTTCCTTCTCATTCCTTTTGTTAATGCAGCTGTGGCTGCAATGAAATCCTATTTGACTTTACTTCCTCAACTTTCCTTGATTCCTACGTGACCTGAACACCCACGCGATACACGTAGGGTAAACTTTTGATCCTTGACTGATATAAAAAATTATTATTCTTTCTTCTATCGCGCTGAAATGAATATTATCGATCTTGACTTCAACATTCGTTAGTCACTGTACAGACGAAACTGGAGTTGCAGTTGTTGTCTTTCTTGAGCTGGTCAAGGCCGATAAAACTCGTCCTTGCGGCCCACGCATCAGCATTAAAATCCTTAACTGATCTTATTTCTTTGAAAGGAAAGTTGTTTAGAAATGGTTTACTTGTTTTTCTGCGTTGATCACTTCTTTACTTCCCATTACTTGAATGTTTTACTTTGCACCCGTGAGGGGAGGAGAATTTAACTCCTTTTTTTTCTTCTAATTCGTCTAAGATGGAATTTTTGTGGATTTGTTCTGGTGAATTTAACTTCCATTCCACCCTTTCCTTCCTTTAAAATGGACTATTTCTGCACTCACTTATGCTAAGCTTCTTGTGGCTATTCTCCTACAGGCCCTTGTGGTTCCGTTTTCACCACGTACAACTATCACATGTTTGTTACCTAAAGCCCAATCAGTACTTTCCGCCATTCGTACCCTTGCGTAACACGTATCCATTGTTAATCATTCATCTTATTTCCCATTTAGATGGCATGCCACTAGGTCCCCCTGTCTTCATTCAACACCTGACGAATTGCGAGATCATAGAGAACAGCGCCGCCAGATTTGAATGCAAGGTTAGCGGTAACCCTGAACCGGAAGTGGAATGGTATAAAGACGGGAAGCTACTGAAGGAAAGTAAACAGCTCACATTCCTATACGATGACAACGACAACTGTAAACTTATCATCACTAAGGGAACTGCAGCCGACGCAGGCGAATACACGGTAGTAGCCAAGAATCCTCACGGTAAAGTATCGAGTAGCGCACGATTGCTAATCGACACGGGTTCAACGGACGATGAAACCGCGAGCGACTCCGAACTCTCTGAACCGTCTGGCTCTGAAGCTGAGGAGAGAACAATGACTCCAAAAGAGGAAAAGATTACGAAGTACTACACTGTTCAAGATGAGCTCGGCAAAGGTCGCTTTGGTGTTGTGTGCAAGTGCATTGACAATAAAACTGGCCGCGCCTATGCAGCCAAGTTCATCAAATGTACTGCGCCCAAGGACAGACAAGACGTCATACACGAAGCAGAGATCATGAGTTCTGTTCGGCACAGGCGGCTTCTTCGGCTTCAAGATTTCTTCCAGACACCCACGGAGATGATACTTGTCATGGATCTCGTCACGGGTGGAGAGCTGTTTGAGAAGGTGGTAGAAGATGAGTTCATCTCGGAGATAGAAGTGTCGCATTACATGAAACAGATATTGGAAGGTGTTCAGCACTTGCATCAGCGAGAGGTTCTCCATTTAGATCTCAAACCCGAAAACATCATGCTTATTAGACCGGAAAGTAAACAAATCAAGCTTATTGACTTCGGCCTGGCGAGGAAGTACAACCCGAAGGAAAACCTCAAGGTAATGTTTGGAACACCAGAATTTGTCGCCCCAGAAGTCATTACATACGAGCGAATTACACCTGCCACGGACTTATGGTCTATTGGAGTCATAGCATATATTCTGCTGAGTGGTTTATCGCCTTTTATGGGGGATACTGATGCAGAGACCCTGACGAATGTCCAACTGGCGGAGTGGGACTTTGACGATCCTGTCTTTGATGATATCTCAGATGAAGCGAAAGACTTCATCAGTGGTCTTCTTGTGCTTAAAGCAAACAAAAGGAGTACGGTCGATCAATTACTTAAACATCGCTGGTTCACCATCAAGAAGGACAAAGGGAAGAAACTGAAAACCGATCGTCTTAAAGCATTCACCGCGCGAAGGAAATGGAGGCGAGCCATCACCGCGATCCGAAGCACGAACTTTTTGAGCCGGATTCTCGGAAGTCGGGGATCCGATGATAAGAAGAGCAGCGGCGGTGGAGGGGGTGGATTGTTAGCCCGAGTCAAAGCAATGCATGCTGCCGGTATACAAGGTTCGGAAGGGGGTGTCCCCCCGGCGTCGTCTCCTTTCCTATCACCTGCCTCAGCAGCTTTCAGCACCAGTAACAGCTTCACATCAGTAACAGTAACAGAAAGAACGCAAACGCAGGGAGAGACAACTGTTACAGAGAAAGAGACAGTGACTGTTACCAAAGACGGACAAACAACTGTTGAAGAAAAAGAAACTACAACAAGAATCGGCGAAACCACACAGCAAGAAAACAAAACCGAAGAAGTCGATAATGGTTAGCGTCAATTTGTCGTCAGAAAATTTCATCGTAAATGAAAGTTTAACTGAAGAAGAGAGAGATAATCGAAGATGTAGTCATGATCGTGAAAATTGTTTTACGCATCGTTATATCATAAGTCTTGTTCTAATTTCATTTTGTTTTGCAGGTCACACGTAAGTACACTACTAATCAGGAGTGCTATACTTCAGTTATTAATTATAATACAGTTAATATCGACAAATATATTTCTAGTTAAGGTCGTTTCCGATGACTAACTGGAAGGAAGTGGAAACTTATATCGGCTTCCTGCACTGTTGCCAAATAATTAAGCTTCGGCGAAGGGTTTTTTCCGTTGATCACAAAACAATTTCTCGTGAATGAAAGGCAATTTCTGGCTGCTTAAACTGCGAAAATTATGTTATTCAATCACCTCGCAAACCTAAAGTCATAACAAAATATTTTGTTTTAATTTTTCGGCCATTATTTCGCATGAAAAGTGATTGCTGTGTGTTTTTTTCTGCTGTCATGGTTGGATCCTTGTTCGTTTATAGTTCTTACTCCGAAGTTAGTCTGGGCTACCTGTGGAGATTTGTTTCGTCCTTTTCAAAGAGGACCTTTAAGACGTTGAAGTTAAAAATCTTAAGCTGTGGACTTATTTAACCCGCGTAACTAACACGAAATTGTGAAAGAAAAAGGTTCTGTCAAAGGCCAACTTAAAGGAAAGCCACGGCATTTGTTGAAAAAAATTAGTGTGAATTCTTGTAATTCTTGTCGAGAAAGATTAATTTAAAGGTGAAAGAGACTGTAGGATAGAATTCCGTATATGGCAATCTCGCTGTTCTCGAACAAAGTGTTGAAAATAGCTCAAATATACGTTCAAAGCATTAATTCGCCAGCAGGGTGTACTACTAAATCCACTCTTATTTTTTATTCCTAATATTTCTGTATCTGAACTACACAACTTAAAGCTATTTCAAGTCCTTCTATTCTACGACAATAAGACATATCACATTCTTTTCACGCTTTATCATCTAAATTACAAACTGTTTTGTTATCTCAGAAAGGACCATTGGTTAAAATTAACTGTGTGTCATACACAGGATACTAAAGAACTCCAAGTTATGCTTTGCATGGATTGTTTTTCTCATAAAAACGAGTATTAGCGCCGTTCGAGTTTAAGTACAAAGGATCATACGGATTATGTCTTACAGCTAACAGAAAATTAATCAAGATATTCCACACAGACATGTTTGTTTGCGTGCAGATTGTTGCGTGACATGCAAATCATGTAGACGTCGTGCTGTTGTCGGATTTTGAATAAAACACTTGGTTGAAGTTATCTTCATTCTTGGTATTTGTTTGGTGGAGTTAATCTACTTCAATACCTCGTTAAGATTTTTAGTTTTCTTTGGCGGTCTTCTTCGTATGTACGCAACGGCAACATGGCTAACGATGCCAGTAAGTGACATTTTTATATTCCTTTCCAAGGCGTTAACCATGTTAGCAAACTTTTTCACTACTCGGTTTGTTATTCGTAATATCTGTGTTGTCTTCTTTGTATTTTAAGGAAACTTCTTTTCCGAATTTTCTTAAGTTAATCGTAACATTTTGAAAGAAATCTCGTGTTAGTCGTTTGAACATGATTTTCATGTGGTGTTCGTACAAGATCCCTAAAGTTTTTTATCCTTGGGTTGGTTTTTTTCTTCAAAGATACTTCCGCTCAACTTGGATCTTTTAAATGTTTTGTCCTTTTTTTTTTTTTGCAGTAATATTTCATTCATTACTTTGCCTTCTAATCCGATACGTGTATAACCGCTAGTATGACATGGTTTTAGAAAAACATTAGAAAAGGGGAAAAAATAATGTGTTCATCAGAACGATTAATTAAAATCCTTTTGGTCTTACTTCAATTGTGATAGTCATCGGCAAAATATTGAAGCACTGCTTTAAACCATTGATATCAAGAGGAAATTATTGTCAAATGTAACATTGTAGGACGATATAACTAGTTGCAAAACCAGAACGAATGATTTATGCTGAAGAAGTTCCTTTGGCTGTATGGTTGATTTATATTTTGTGTGAGAGTTCTCGAGTGAATCGTTTTTCTTGTTCAATTGAGACTACTCCTCTCTTGCTACGCTTTGACATTTTCTCTTACAGTTTAATAACACGTGTAGAACCTTCACTCAGTGCATCTGCGGAGTATTTAAATAACAAGATGTTACCAATCTGCTCCACATGCTAAATATTTAAAATACTTTGAAATCCTAAAGTGTGATCAAGTATATCTTGGTTTTTAATTATTTTCTGATGTTCTGTGCTTTACTCTGTTAGTAAACGGGTTTAATCTGTTATTTCATGGAGGCAGAATTGTTTCCAAAAGGGGTCGCGTATGTTTCCTGCGTTGAAAGTTGGATCATAGGCTTTGAGCGATGATAGGAGCTGTTGTTTCCATCACTCTTCAGTTAGTCGATTCGAAACGTACTATTAGCAGCAGTTATTATATAAGAGGTTAAGGTCATCTATAATAAGGTGTTGTATACAATAATGCACTTGTATTCCACTGGTGAAGTAATTTTGTAACTAACCTGGTGGGGTTGAGTGGCCGAATAGAATCTAGTTTATCTTTAACAATTCAACAGACCAGAGGTTTTGTTTCTGGAAGAAATGTTTCTGACCATTGTTCTAGTAATATGTTAGTTAAACTGGACACTTTGATGACTTAAGACAAATTATTGATGAAGAAGAGAAATTGAAAAGAAAAGTAAACGTTAACTGAGGATCTTTTCTCTACTTGAATGTAGTCCTTTTCAAGAAAAACTAGATTAAAACTAGATTAGCAGCACTGTCAAGAAAGGAAACGTGGCGTTAACTCTGCATTAAAAGCCAATTCGCAGTCAGTTCAGTCGCGCGATTCTGGGGTAAAAACCGTGATAAAAAAAAAAAATTATCAACTTCACTCAAGTGTATGCTCAAGCCTGGTTTTCGCTTCAGTGTAACCCAGGAGCGCATAAAAACGTTGAACAACACAAGTGGCAGCATTCACGTACTTGCGGTTGTTCATTGTTTCTGTGTGATCTTGTGCCTGCTCTTTTACTTTGTAGAAAGCGACAACCAGGTTGAATTACATTTTAGTGTCTTAGTGTCTTTCTTGTGATAACAACTGTAGGTAAGACGGGCGGTCTTGGAGGAGCAGCCAACACTCCACAAGCCATCGCTAAGCGCTATTCCACTGGTGGAGTGGCACTTAAACTGGAAAATGTCGACAAGTTTTGGGGAATAAAGCACGAAATAGCAAAGTAAGGGAATTTTTTTATCTGACTTTAACCATACAATTGGTTCATTTGCTTTAACGCGCACGATAACATTTGGTTACCTTGGAATTCTTCACCATTCAGTTATTCTGCAGTAACCTTATGTAAATGCTTTTGTTTCACCCTAGGGGTCGTTTCTCAGTTATAAAGCGCTGCTTAGACGCCAAAACAAAGAAACCTTTTGTAGCGAAAATAATCAAATATGACGACGACACAGACCGCGAAGATACTCTTCAGGAATTTGACATCCATCGAAGCATCAAAGGAGACAAAGTCGTTATGTTGCGAGATGCATTCCTCGTGAGGAGATATCTTGTCCTTGTTATGGACATGTAAGTTGTTTCAAGGACTACGTTTATTGGATCATATTTTATTTAAGTTCAGGAGTTTCAACATGCTCTGACTGTTTTCGTTTTCCTTTGTATCAAAGGCTGGAGGGACAAGATATCCTAAGCTTTGTTGGATCAAAACCCAGGCCGAGTGAGGAAGACATCTGTTTTGTAATTCGACCTTTGCTTGATGTAGTGAATTATCTTCATGGCCAGCAGATTGTTCACTTAGACATAAGGGTAAGTTAATAAAGCAGCTTATTTTAGGTCGATATTGTATTTTGCATTTTTCTTTTTCTTTTTCTTTTTTTTTTTTCATTTCCTTGTTTAAAGACAAGTTTTCCTACCGCTGCCTTGCCTCTATGTTTCCGATCAAAAATTTTCATTTCGTACTTCGTGTTCAGTTTTTTTATTCTTCGGTGCCTTTTCTTTGTTGTCTGCCCACAAACATTCCTGACATAAATTCCCATTTCATCTCCTCCATTTTATTCTAATTGCCTGCCGGCAAGTGAGTGGAGGTTTGCATAAGTCAGTGTTAGTGATTTTAATGTTCACGTCCTATCCCACCCATACAATATCAGTGATGGATATCCAACCAACCTAATGACTATATTTTAAATTTTGTTTCCCTTTGGAAGAAGGGTTTTTACAACCAGCTTGTCTGAGTTTACTACTCTCTTAATTTTTTAATACAGCCTGCAAACATTTTCATTGCCAAGAGTAACCTGGGTGTGAAACTTATCGATTACGGAAGTGCACGCCGCATCAAGAACTGGAAGGAAGGTGACATGCTGGCCATTGTTAGTTATGTTGCATTCACAGGTGAGTTGAACGAGTTAAAATCCTCTTTTGTAAGATAGAGTGACATCAGGGTTTAGTGCCTACTGCGCATGCGATACTTAAGTAATCAAACTACATAAAAATAGAATATGAAAGGTAAGATAAGATACGAAATAAGTAATAGACAACATATAGGGAATTGGAGAACAAGCAATGAATCAAACTCAAACTCAAGTGATCAAATGCAATCACCGTTATCAGTGCAAGCGTAAGCTCAAGCGAAGGTCACTTGAACCAGTTTTTATTTGATGAACTTTTCCTCCCATTTTGGATGGACCTTCACTCTGACCGCGATAAGACTAGTTGGTGATAACCTAGTTGCGGTGTATTTATTTGATCAATTGATTTGTTTCCAGCTCCAGAGCTGCTGGACTTCGCTCCCGTCAGTGGACCAGCAGACATGTGGAGCATTGGTGTTCTCATCTACGCTCTGTGAGTGAAACGGTTATCACTTTTTATTATAACTATTAGATATTATTAATTCGTAACAATTACCTATCTCACTTGAATTATAGTTAAAGAAAGCGAACTGCAGTACTAGAATGATTTTGAAAACAGTTAACATTCAAAAGTCGCGATCCCAGAACAACATCAGGACACTTTTAATCTCTGAATAATAATTCTTTTGAAACGCCCCTTTCCTATACCAGGACCCTTTACGCCCTAATACCGGTATGCATATTCTCCATACTGTCCTCCATACACTTCCCAAGGTGCTGACAAGGAGAATTTGTTTACTAATCAAGAGTTTCTTTAGTTGGTGATCATTTCCTTTATTCTCCTGACCTAAATGTTTGATTCAAGGGTGATATTGTAAGGAGAAATTAGAAGCTAGTTACTCCTAGGCCTAGGGGTCAAAGGGGGAAAAGAAAAGGAAAAACAATCTTTACAACGCCGGTTCGCATCAAAGATCCCCTCAGGTTTTACACTAAGGAGAAATGTCCAGAAAATTATTATCACCTATAGCTAAACTCCATCACGGTAATCACCAATACTGTCACGCAAATGTTATTTGAAAGTAGTAGTGTTGTGTCGCCTTAAGACTAACGAATGAATGAAGGTCTGGAAGTAAACAAAGCTGAAGACTTGCTTAGATTGTAAACCTCATTTTTGTATATTTATGTTTTCTCTTTTAGCATAAGTGGAATGCTGCCTTTCTCCGTGGAAACGAAGGATGACGAAGACGAAGATGAAAAACTTGGTGAGGCGATCAAGAGGGGTAAATGGTCTTTTGACTCCAAAGCATTTCAACGCAACACCTCAGAAGTAAAGGATCTGATCACTTCTCTACTTTCTAAGGACGCCAAGTAAGTCACAATCAATAATCAATGATCAGTCTGCTAAACCGTTTGGAATGCATTAGTTTAAACTTAAGTGTAAATTTCGTAGTTTTTACTTAAATTTTAAATAGCCCAGGATTACAATAAGTAGAGCAAGTAAAGTAAGCAAAACTATATTTCTCTCTCTCTTTCTCTCTCCCTCTCTCTCTGTTATTGTTGTATTTAGTACGGGCGTTGAACCCTTTCACTCTTAATATTTTTTACATAAGTGGGTGTTTCATCAAGATGAATTACTCATTGATTTCCTTGTCCATACTCGTCATCTGTTAGTTGGATAATGTATGAATAGTTCGAGATGTTGCAAGTTCATCTTCCGTGGGTGTTATTTGTTCTCGCTTTGACAGGACAAGTAATTCACTTCTTTTGTGGATGACAAAGTTATTTTTTTTTCTTTTCCATTCACAACCAGAAAACGTCCCACCGCAGAAGAGGCTGCGAAACATCCCTGGCTGATGGTAAGTTCCTAAAAAAAGACTTTTTACATTGAATTATACTTGACCAATGCTTAGTTCTTATTAACCGAGCGGGAGGTCTGTATGGGAGAATCTTGACCGAGGTCGCCCATACAGACCGACCTAGCTCGGTGAATAAGATGATTATTATATGGCTGTCTTAGATGCCGATTTTTTATATTCTTTGTACCTTTTTTTTTTTTTTTTTTTTAGACGGATCTAGATGGGAAAATTTAGACCGCTTTCAATGTTGATTTCAGCCAATCAAATTCGTGAATTCGATAGTTCCCAGTCCTTGTGAGACAGCCATGTAATGATAAGAAATATTAAACTTGAAATTATCTACAGAAAGTGTTAGTGGGAACAATCCTCGCATCATGCGACATGCGTTTTCCTTCAGTTCAATCTTAAGTTATTTTATCGTTCCCTTCTGCGACATCCTTTTATCATCTTGCCAAATATCTAATTGAGTGCATTTTATTCACTTCAAATAATAGCGTTCATTCTTTTGCTAGGGCGATAACATGCAGAAACGTCGTTCAAGTGACGTGGTGAGCTCCAAGCTCAAAGATCTGAGCCAGAAACTTCTGTTAAAGGTTTGTTATTCCGTAAACGTATATCACTTGACATAAGCTACATTCAGCAATCAATTTCCACAACAAGATCTACTCAAAATTTTCTGCAAACGAATTGATTTTCTTTATCTTCATGAAACTCCCCTTTGAAGAGGAAAGGATCATATGTCACCTCTCTTGTATGGCGTCTTTCGCAGTGTGATGTCACAAATTTCTTTCTTTTGATTTTATCAAATCCCTTGAAAAATTTCTCGAGTTTAGCCGTTAAACTAAATCACAGCAGATGGGAAGATTTGTAAAGTCGTGCATAGAGTATCTTATTAAAAAACGTTTTTGAGTGAGAAATAATAACGTATTTGTTGACCACAGGACAAGGAAGATGTTGTGTCAGCGTCCTGTGTCCTAAAAACCTTCAACGAGGATCCTTACGGCTCTCCAGACTCAGATGAGGAATAGTTCTGGGTACCTGACCTGTGTATCGACATAAAAGGATACAAAGCGGCACGCGTCTGTGCCAAGATCAACTAGCTAGTTCTGAATAACAATAACGCCTTGTAAACTTAGAGAGCGATTTCAAACATTTCGATTAAGTAAATTTAATAATGATTTTTTTTACAATCATTTTCAATATTTTTCTTTAGACGTTTTGGTCCACGAAAGAGTATTTATTTTTGTAGGGAATATTTTTGTGGTAATGTTATAATCCAAATATGCGTTTTTTACTAGTAACCTGAAGCAAGTCATTGCTTTATGATGCATTTTAGTAGTAAATGCTTTTGCACATTATTCCTCTTCGTTCTATTTGTTTATGAAATGAAAGTAGATATATTACAATTTAGACAAAAGAGTTAAGTTACAACATGAAAGAGTGCTTCTATTGTTTAAGGCAAACTCATTAATCAGACATAATTGTCGTGATTTCACTATGGAATTGCCATTTTAGTATTTCTGTTCAGACAAACATTTGCAAGTGAAATAAAACACGTTTCAAATAGTTCTGTCCTTTTCCTTTCGACAAAGAAAACAATCAAAATAATAAAACAACAAAACCTCACTGCTCACCTTGAGAAGCTAACCCTTCTTTTTTAAACCATTAACAAAACTTTGCGCATGAATAGTGAAACAATAGAAATTCGTTAATGAACTTTTGGTAACTTGGAAGAACAACGAGCTAAAACGGGTATTCAAACTCCTTAACAAAGTTCTATTTAGATGTGCAGAGGAGATTTTTTCGGCCCACAAAAGAGCTGCGGTAGCTTTGATAATCAAAGAGGATTTTCTCGGCTCACAAAAGAGCTGTAGCTTTGACACTTGCATACAATGCATAGCTAATCACACTCTTTCTAACGAGCTGTAGACTGTCCAAAAAGAGCGTGATCGGCCCTGTATTGTATCCAAGTTTCAAAGCTACAGCTGCTTTGTGAGCCGAGAAAATCCTCTCTGAAAATTAAAACAATAGAACTTTGTTTATGGTTGATATCTCTGCAAAAAAAAGAGACAATTTATAGCTCGTTAAAAAGAACGTGATCAGCTGTGTGTTGCATTCAAGTTTCAAAGCTACAGCTCTTTTGTGAGCCAAGAAACTCCTCTGAATATTAAAACAATAGAAGTTCGCTAATAGCTTTTGATTTATCTGGAAGAACCAGCAGCAAAATTATCGTTTTCCTATTCAGAGAGAATTCGTAGAAATATAGGCGCATATAAAGAAACTCCTGGAAAATTTATAGCTCGTTAGAAAGAACGTGATTAGCTGTGTAATATGTGCAAGTGTCAAAGCTACAGCTCTTTTGTGGGCTGAGAAACTCTTCTCTGAATATCAAACCGATAGAAATTCGTTAATGAGCTTTTGGTTTATCTGGAAGAACCAGCAGCAAAATGCTATTGTTTTACTATTCAGAGAGGATTCGTAGAGATAGAGACGTATATCAACGAACTCCTAGGCAATTTGTTGCTCATTGGAAAGAGCGTGATGAGCTGTGTATTGTGTGCAATAGTCCATTTTACAGTTGTGTGCTTGGTTGCCAAACCTTTGAATAGGAGTGAGGCTAGGGTTGAGCTTGTTATGATACAAACCTTCCTGCCTTTCAAATGTAAATCACTATGTTATGCTAAGTAGATACAGGTCTCTATCACAACAAGGTCACCTTCAGCCTCACTCTGAATCAAAGGCTTGGCAACTAAGTACACAACTGTAAAATGGCCTATTGTCAAAGCTACAGCTCTTTTGTGGGCCGTGAAACTCCTTTCTGAATACTAAAACAATAGAAATTCGTTGATGAGCTTTTCGTTAGTCTTGAAGAACCAGCAGCAAAATGCTGTTGTTTTACTATTCAGTGAGGATATGTAGAGAAATAGATACACATAAAGGAAAAATCCTCTCTGAATATTAAGTGGTAGAGTTTTCTTAATGCATTCATACCTCTGCAAAAAAGGGGAATTCCTTGACAATTTGTAGCTTGTTAAAAAGAGCGTGATAAATTGTCCAGGAATTCTCCTTCTTTGCAGAGATAGAAACACCTGAAGAAAACTCCACTACTAAATATTAAGACAGGATTTTCTCGGCTCACAAAAGAGCTGTAGCTTCAAAACTTCTACGCAATACACAACTAATCATGCTCTCTTTGACACGCCATAAATTCTCCATGAATTTTACTTTTCGACTTAAAAGCTCGTTTTAGCTAGTGGTTCTTCCAGACTAACCAAAAGCTCATTAGCGAATTTCTATTGTTTTAATATTCAGAGAGGATTTTCTCGGTCCACAATAGAGCTCTAGCTTTGACACTTACACACAATACACAGCTAATCACGCTCTTTCCAATGAGCTACAAATTGTCCAGGAGTTCCTTTATATACGTCTATATCTCTACAAATCCTCTCTGAATAGAAGAACAATAGCATTTTGCTGCTGGTTCTTCCAGATAAACCAAAACCTCATTCACGAATTTCTATTGTTTTAATATTTAGAGAGGAGTTTCTCGGCCCAAAAAACAGCTGTAGCTTTGACACTTGCACACAATGCACAGCTAATCACGCTCTTTGTAACGAGATGTAAATCGTGCAGGCCCTTTATCTGCGTCTATATCTCTACGAAGTCTCTCTGAATAGTAAAACAATAGTATTTTGCTGCTGGTTCTTCCAGATAAACCAAAAGCTCATTAACGAATTTCTATTGTTGTAGTATCGAGAGAAGTTTCTCGGCGCAAAAAAAAGCTGTAGCTTTGACACTTGCACACAATGCATAGCTAATCACATGCTTTCCATCGAGCTACAAATTGTCCAGGAGTTCCTTTATATGCGTGTATAGCTTTACGAATCCTCTCTAAATAGTAAAACAGTAACATTTTGCTGCTGGTTCTTCCAGATAAACCAAAAGCTCATTAACAAATTTCTATTGTTTTAATATTCAGAGAGGAGTTTCTCGGCCCACAACAGAGCTCTAGCTCTGACACTTGCACACAATACACAGCTAATCACGCTCTTTCCAACGAGCTACAAATTCTCCAGGAGTTCCTTTATAGGCGTCTATATCTCTACGAATTCTCTCTAAATAATAAAACAATAGCATTTTGCTGCTGGTTTTCAAGATAAACCAAAAGCTCATTAACGAATTTCTATTGTTTTAAAACTCAGGGAGGAGTTTCTCAGCCCACAAAAGAGCTATAGTTTTGACACTTGCACATATTACACAACTAATCACGCTCTTTGCAACGAGATATAAATCGTCCACGAATTCCTTTATATGCATCTATATGTCTACGAATCCTCTCTGAATAGTAAAAGAGTAGCATTTTGCTGCTGGCTCTTCCAGATAAGCCAAAAGCTCATTAACGATATTCTATTGTTTTAGTATTTAGAGAGGAGTTTCTCGGCCTATAAAAGAGCATTAGCTTTGACACTTGCACACAATACACAGCTAATCACGCTCTTTGCAACGAGATAGAAATTGTCCAGGAGCTCTTTTAAATGCGTCTATATCTCTACGAGGTCTCTAAATAGTAAAACAAGAGTATTTTGCTGCTTGTTCTTCCAGATAAGCCAAAAGCTCATTAACTAATTTCTATTGTTTTAGTATTCAGAGAGAAGTTTCTCGGCCCACTAAAGAGCTGTAACTTTGACACTTGCACGCATTACACAACTAATCACACTCTTTGCAACGAGATATACATCGTCCAGGAATTCCTTTATATGCGTCTATAGCTCTACTAATCCTCTCTGAATAGTAAAAGCATTTTGTTGCTGGTTCTCCCAGATAAACCAAAAGCTCATTAACGAATTTCTATTGTTTTAATATTCCGGGAGGAGTTTCTCGGCGCAGTAAAGAGCTGTAGCTTTGACACTTGCACACAATACACAGCTAATCACGCTCTTTCCAACGAGCTACAAATTGTCCAGGAGCTCCTTTACATGCGTCTATATCTCTACGAATGGTCTCTGAATTGAAGAACAATAGCATTTTGCTGTTGGTTCTTCCAGATAAACCAAAACCTCATTCACGAATTTCTATTGTTTTAATATTCAGAGAGGAGTTTCTCGGCCCACAAAACAGCTGTAGCTTTCACACTTTCATACAATACACCAACTAATCACGCTTCTTTCCAGTCCAGGAATAAGAACTAAGCATTGCTCAAAGTATAATTCAATGTAAAAAGTCTTTTTTTAGGAACTTACCATCAGTCAGGGATGTTTCGCAGCCTCTTCTGCGGTGGGACGTTTTCTGGTGTTGAATGGAAAAGAAAAAACTAACTTTGTCGTCCGCGAAAGGAGTGATTTACTTGTCCTGTCGAAGCGATGAAAAATAACACCCAGCTTTGTTTACTTCCAGGCCTTCATTCATTCGTTAGTCTTAAGGCGACACAACACTACTACTTTCAAATAACATTTGCGTGACAGTATTGGTGATTACCGTGATGGAGTTTAGCTATAGGTGATAATAATTTTCTGGACATTTGTCCTTAGTGTAAAACCTGAGGGGATCTTTGATGCGAACCGGCGTTGTAAAGATTGTTTTTCCTTTTCTTTTCCCCCTTTGACCCCTAGGCCTAGGAGTAACTAGCTTCTAATTTCTCCTTACAATATCACCCCTGAATCAAACATTAAGGTCAGGAGAATAAAGGAAATGATCACCAACTAAAAAAACTCGTGATTAGTAAACAGATTCTCTTTGTCAGCACCTTGGGAAGTGTATGGAGGACAGTATGGAGAATATGCATACCGATATTAGGGCGTAAAGGGTCCAGGTATAGGAAAGGGGCGTTTCCAGATTAACCAAAAGCTCATTTACGAATTTCTGTTGTCTTAGTATTCAGAAGGGATTTAATCGGCCCACAAAAGAGCGGTAGCTTTGACAGTTGCACACAATACACGGCTAATCACGCTCTTTTTAACAAGCTATAAATTGTCAAAGAATTCCCCTTTTTCGCAGGGATATAAACGCATGAACTTAAATTCTATTGTTTTGATATTCAGAGAGGAGTTTCTCGGCCCACAAAATTCACAGCTAATCGTGCTCTATTTAACTATTTCTAAATTGTCCAGGAATGCCTCTTTTTCGAGTTGAAAGCTTGTTTTAGCTAGTGGCTCTCTCCGATTGACCAAAAGCTTATTAACGTTTTAATATTCAGAGAGATATAAACGCATAAATAATGAAAGAATAGAAATTAATGAGCTTTTGGTAACTTGGTAGAACCACGAACTTAAACGGGTCTTCAAACAAAATTCCATTGTTTTAAAATTTAGAGAGGAGTTCCTCGGCCGACAAAAGAGCTGTAGCTTTGACACTTGCACACAATGAACATCTCATCACACTGTTTTTAACGCGCCATTATTATTTAAGAACTCTTTCTTGCCGCAGAGATATAAACGCATAAATATTGAAGCAATTGATATTTTTAAGGAGCTTTCGGTGACTTTGAGGAATCACAAGGAAAAACGGGTCTTTTAACCTCATTAACATATTTGTATTGTTGGAATATTTAGAGGGGATTTTCTCCAACCCACAAAAAAGCTATAATATTGATACTTGCACACAACACAGAACTACTCACGGTCTCTCTAACACGTAATAAGTCGTGTTTGATTTTTTTCTTTTTTTGTAGATACAAGGACATAAAACAATTGAATTTGCTTTTGAGGGACACGAATCGACCATATTTTTTTTCAGTTCATTACCAAAATTGCATAGTTTCAATTTCGGAGGGAATTTTCTCAGTTCACAAAAGAGTTGTATCTTTGCTATTTAAACACAAGACAGAGTTAATCGTGTTCTTTTTAATGTGCTACATATTTCCCCCGAATTACCTTTTTTGGTGAGATAAACGCCTTGATCTTCTTTTAATATTGCACACCACTAAACACTTTTTAATTGTATTCCTCGCGTCTCCAGAGGGGGGGGGGTGGGGGTGAGTTGCTAAGCTGATTTCACAAGGGATCAGTTTCCTCCCAAGTAATAAAAAAAAAAATTAAATAATCTATTTAGTACAACTATAGATCGCAAGTCTGTAATTTAACAGATATGAAAAAGTTAAGTCAGGCATGAAAAATCTATTAAAGAAAACTGTGCAGAGGAGGTATTTAAACTAAATTCGTGGAATAGAAGCCTCCTTTTTAAATAAATATAGGCTGCAGTTAGTTTGGTCCAAAAATAATGGAGGATAAAAGAGGTCATGGAGTCCTTTTCAAATATTATGGAGTACGATGTTTTCCTTTGAACGAACTTGCGAGTATTTGGTTCGGCTACGTTTATTTTGGAAAGTTTTAACTGTCGGCAGTAGATGCCATATTACACCAAAGGAATTAAAATGACGCGAAAATCTCGAGAAATGCGAATAGAACACAAAAAGCTGTGTCGACTGAAACGTGGACAATAAGCCTCCATTTTTAATAATTATAGGCTGCAGTTAGTTTGGTCGAAAAATAATGAAGGATAAAAGCATTTGATGAAAAAAGGTGTTCATAATGAGTGGAAATGGCAGAGTTGCATGTCATTTATTACACCAGATAGAACCGGAAGTGAACTTATGGCCAACGCCAGTTCATCTATGTTGCATGTCATTTATTACACCAGATAGAACCGGAAGTGAACTTATGGCCAACGCCAGTTCATCTATGTTGGAAATGTTATGATGCATTAGCTTTCAATAGGTCAAGAACAAGAATTAAATGTCTCTCGTCACTCAAAAGTGGTCGGGTCGTTTGAACATAAATTGGTTTCCCTGTCAATAGATACACCCACCCTGTTGTTGTGATCGGAGCTGGATAGTCATGGAGTTGAAAAAAGAAAATCCGGATAAATATTACAACTTTAATGAGGAAATTGGAAGGTAGAACATTTTACTCTTGTTGTTGAATATAGCCAATGCAGAGCTTGTGGGCAACCGGGTGGATGCGAATAACCAGTGAAAGTGATTAGTTTGTTTGTAACGGAGCGCCCTGTCCGCGCGCAACAGATTAATATAAGAGCTAGATTTGTAAGTTTTAGTATTTGAATATAGAAAGCTGCTTCCAAAGGTTTCATTGCATAACTTGGGGGGAAGATTAAGCATTGTACCTTGAAACTGGCCGTGTCGTGGAACGTGTGAAAAGGTACTTGCACATCGATCAGAACGTTCACTCAAATAATGTCTAGACTTGACAGTAGTGAGGTACATCTCTGAGTCACTGGAAATGTCTCATGCTGCGCGCTTATTGTTTAAATTTTCGGCTGATTTCACGACTTTCGTCGAGCTAACAATTCTCAATTTCTTTTCAGTATCATCTACCTAAGCTTACTTGTCATATTGAAGTTATAAGAAGAACGTACATTACTAACTTTTCAAAATTTCTCTTTATCTCTCTGTCATGTTTGGTGTTCATGTTGTTATCGAAGTGAGTGTCAGTTTTAACATTTTACTACAGAAAGAGAATATTCCGCAATGAATCACAGATAAATTACGAGATTTTTCCCTCGTTATTCAGCACACTGTTTTATTATACCATTCAAAACAAAAAAGGTATTTTTCTGACCCCAAGCAAAGGTCATGACAATGGTGTTATTCTTAAAATTCTATTCATTTGCTTCCAAAACTGGAAGCACTTAACGAGTTTGAATGACGAGTAAAGACAAGTGTTTGACTCCCTACAACAAATGATGTTGTTAGTCACTTAAAACTCGCCCGTGACACCTAATGAACGGCAGACTACTCCACACATCTGCTATCTACTTAGGTTAAAATTTTAAAAGTGGTTTGAAATTCAGTCTCAACGCAGCCTTATCAGGGTGGAAAGTATTCCAGAAAATTCGAGGAAAGTCATATTTTCGACGAGAACTTTTGTTAATAGTAACTTGAACTGAAATTTATTGTTGACTTCGGGAATTATAAAAGGGATAGTTTTCATTCTTTTACGCACAGAGCGTCAGCAATAACTCACTGAATAGGTGCTGTTAAATTCTTTGAATGCTCCTGGGGTATTTACTCGGCCAGATATTTTTCGCCGCTGTTTTCCGATCTTTTTTTTCGAAAACTGATCAAATCCGTCCTCATCAATCACTTCAGTGTACATGAAAGGTTATGAACAAATAGCTACCAACAAATACCGCTCACACGTTATCAGGCAACGTAGTTATGTTACATAGGATGATACAAATGCCAATTTTTGTTCTTGTTGTTTTGTTTTGTTCGTTTTTTTAAAGCACACGGGTATTGTTGTCCTTGTTTTGAATGGTTCATAAAAGATTTAGTAAGACTTGTTAAAGAAGAGAAAATCTCACATTCCATTAACCCAGCTGTTTCTTTATATGGGGCGGTCTTCTCAGGAACTCGCAATATATCATGCATTGTACCTCCGGACGTCCCACTTAAACAAACTGCCCCACTCCATTACCATACGTATTCGGTTACTTAAAGTTGATGTTGAAAATTATGCAAGGTATTAACTCCTTATTTCTATCAAAGCAGCTTGGAGCAAAAATAGTTTTAACCCGATCTTATATGGGGGGTCTGTTGGTAGGGGAAAATTTAGCTTACCCCATGATACAGCGCAGGTAATTCGCGCACTGCGTTCTCTTCAACATTTCATTATTGACCAAATGTCAAATGCACAACATGGGTATTAGAAGGATTTGCGTAGCCCTGGAGATTAAAGATGGCTTGGTTTTTCACACTTTGAAGTGAGTAACTTTGTCATGCTAGTGTGCGGGATAAGTTAACTTTTTCTTCTATCCATTGATAGAGGTAAATACGCCGTTGTCAAAAATTGCTCAGATAATAAAACGAGGAAACAATTAGTTGCCAAGCTGATCAAGTACGATGCTGACACCGAGAAGAACACAAAACAAGAATTCGAGATAATGGCGACTCTCAAACATGACAAGCTGCTGACGGTTCGAGATGGATTCATCGTCCAAAAATATGTAGTTATCGTAATGGATAGGTGGGTGCCATTTACCAACCATATAATGAGCATAACACCACTAGCTGTCCCAGTTTGATTTGAAGTATGAATCCCGTGGGCCACTATTGAATAACCGCTTGTTACGAAAGCCTTCCATCGCCGCCAGGGGATTGTCACAGATTAACTTGATGGACGAACGCACTGACTAAGAATTTATCAAGGGAGATCTCTTACCTCAGCGTCTTAGGGACGTACCAAGATGTTTAACTGTTATAAATTATGTCTATGTCATGCTGGGGGAATGGGGCCAGTCAGGTGCCCCTGTTGATTTCTTGACTACTCCCATATCTTATGACTTTGTCAATGCGCGCGAGATGAATGCGTTCTTTTTTTTGTTCATAGGATCGAAGGAAAAGAGGTACTCGAATTCCTGGCAGAAAAAACTACGGCAAGTGAAGAGGATGCATCACTTGTCATTGCTCAGCTTGTTGAGGCTCTTACTTATCTGCACAAGCAAAACATCGTTCATCTGGATATCAGGGTGAGAAAGTAGACTGAAATACAATTTCGGTAACGACCTCAGACAACGGAGAAAAGGAGAAACTCTTTTGGCTCACTAACTTATTAAACGCGTCCATCTGATTCTGTTAATTCTACTGAAGCATTTTCTTTATTTTTTTTATTTCAAATCAAACAGCCGGCAAACCTTTTTATGTCAAGAGACTTTAAACTGACTCTGATCGATTACGGGAACGCCAGGCAGATCCAGTCTCCCAACGGTCAATTCGTTGACGCAGTTGGAGTCACTGAGTTCACAGGTAAGAAATAATTTTCTAATATTGTTAGATACCTTAAAACTAGAGAATAAATCGTGGGAATAATTAATAGTAAACTTTCGATTTCCAGAAACGCAAGGTTCAACCTTGAGTGAAATAGAAACTTTATACCACAGAGTCATCATCAAACTTTTTCTTCTTTTCTAGCGCAAACCGCTGACGATTTCTAAACAGCGCTTTTTCTTCAAGGATAGAAATTTTTCTTCTTTCTCTGCTACTCTTAAAGCTCAAAACCCTCAAGCTTGCCCAGGAAAAAAAAACTGAGAATACAAGAAACTCTTCAACATTAATTTAGTTGCCTTATTGGTGCCTGATATTTTGACTTCAGCTCCAGAGGTACTTAACTTTGAGATGACCCATTGGGGAGCTGACATGTGGAGTGTGGGAGTACTCCTGTACATATTGTGAGTCAGCTTAAAATATAAAAAAACAACCAGAATTCACAGACGGCGATGCTGTTTTGATTTACTGACTGACCGATTTATAAAGGAAATTTAACTGAGTGGAGTATAATTTGGTCTGAAATTATACGTGCGATTTCATAATCAAACGAGGGTGCATCGCGAGTTTGATTTGAAATCACAAGTATGACAGCCTTATGTTTTAGTCTTCCCAGATATTGTATTGATCCAGCACTGAGTTGGTTTGAAAAAAGTTGTCTTTCATTTTCCGAAAAATTTGATCGAAAACTTTATACAAGCCTTGGTTGTCGTGTGTTAGTGGAGCTTTCTCACTGGTGTTAGTGGTGTGGGAATAAATATCATGGATTGTCTTATAGACTGACCAATCAATTGGTTGATTGACTGACTAATTGATCGATTTAGAAGTTAATTAATTGATTTAATGATTTACCTAACAGGTTGAGTGCTACCCTGCCGTTCACCATAGAGGACAGTGACGACGAAAATGCTGATGACAAAGTTGCTGCGAAAGTCAAATCAGTCGCATATGAAATGCCTGTCGGCTTGTTTCGCAACGCTACACAAGAAGCCGAAAATTTGATCAAGAAACTTCTTATTAGACAGCCTGAGTAAGTATCACATACTTAGTTTAAACCAGTCGTCAGTTCAATGGTAGATCGGATGCGAAATTACTGGATGACTCGAGAACACATGTTCTATCAGAGTTTTGTCTCATTTTAGGAGACGACCTTCAGCTTCATCCTGCCTGGATGATCCTTGGCTCTCGGTAAGACTCTAATATTGTTTTTCAACAGGTATAGTTGTAGAAATTCTGATAAAAAACGAAGAAGCTCAAGAAGTTAATCCCAACTATTTAGAACGATGCTTTTTCGCGTTATTGGGTCTCATTAGTTAGATTAAGCACCGCGAAAACGGCGAACGCTGAACGTCGGCTAGTTGTTTGTCGTTCCGTCCGCGAAGTTCGAGGTGGTTCGCACGTTACATCATGCCACCATGCTGGTGGAAGTAAAACAATAGATATCTCATTAGCTCCTTTTGTTCGTCTACCAGCATTTAAATTTGACCAGCACACGTCAACGGTGAGTGACAAATGAGCCTAGGTCTTCGCAGGGAAAACTTTCTTATATAGCGCGCCTTCGTGTTTAAGCTTCCCGAAGACACGGCAGAACAAATGTTCTCGGTCGCCATTCACTACGACTAGAAATAATAGATACAAAGAAGTAATGTATTTTCCGCTTGAATTTGAACTCTATTAGCTTTACAAGCAGTTCATATAGAAGTAAGATGATAAAAAAAAGCTTAGCTATAAAAGCAAGCGATCAAAATGTGGAAATAGTCGGTAAAAATGGGCTGCAAATACTCACATTTCCGCGTTCCCTACAAACGGCAAAAATGTCCTCCTCGAGTAGAAACGGCGGCCGGTAAACGGCAAATGTCAGGTCACGCGACCCTCTGCCGCTCGCGGGGAAAAAAATACGTGGTGCTTAATCTCTCCTTTGCTTAACAAGGTAATCTCCCGATCGCCAATATAAAAAAGTATGTGTCGTATTGATATTGATACTTTGTCTTTCTTAGCCCATCCTTACCCAGAAGAGAAAATCCTCCGAAATACCAGCTTCAAAATTTAAAGTCCTAAATGACCAACTGAAAGAGGCGGTGAGTGAGAAAAAAAAACCCCTTAATCATTAACCTCGTTTACTCCTACGATTGTGGAAAGGAGACGACGCTAAAATGTTCTCTATTCGAATAATTATAATTAAAAAAAAAAAAAACGTTGTTATGGTCAGTCAGGAGGTCTATTAGTTATCAGTCAGTGAGTCATTTGACGATGCGACAGTAAATAAATAGTCAGCCAGTAAACCAGCCAGCCAGTCATAAAATAAGTCAGTTATCCTCCCAGTCAGCTGGCCAACCACTGAGCCGGTCAGTCAGCCACACCCACCCACACAGTCAATCAGCTTGTCGGCCAGTCAGTCTGTCAAGTAATCAGTCAATATGTGAGCTATTCAGCCAATTATCAGCGTTTACCGAGAATCCGTGGCCACTAAATGGAACATTTGGTTTGCTTTATTTTAGGAAGAAGACGAACTGGTTGTTGCTTCGTGCGTTCTCCGCTCATTTGACGAAGATGTTTATGAGTCCCCTGAGGAGGAAGAGGAGGAAGAGGAGGAGGAGTAGAAATAAAAAAAAAAACTTCCTCCAAACCGATGTACAAAGCTGCCGTGACTCTCAAGAGGAAACCAAATGAGAGCAAATAGTAAGATATGAGATCTAAGATGAGACTGTCGTCTTTCTTAAAACGCTGGTTCTCGAAGGATGAGCGCTTTATAGGAGAAGGAAAGAGATGCGAGAGTAACAGACAAGACTCAGAAACACTTTTGTATATCTTAGTGGATTGGGAATAAAGTTTCTTTGACTCCCGACAGAGGAGAGATTTGGACTTCTAACCCTAAAACCTATGGGTGGAATAAAGAAAGTGTCTCTCCTTTTTGATGATTGTTCATTTACGGTTTAATTGGTGATGGTAAATCGTCCTCAACTTGCATAACTACTATTGATGAGCCCAAGTGGAGTGTAATATGATTAAGTTCTGGTGGGTGTCAGATCAAAGTCATGCAAACAGCGTTAACTGACGATGACCAAAATGAATGCCGACACAGGCATGCCATTGGGTTATTGACTACCTTGACTTTTTCTTAAATAAATCAGATATATCAATCAATGGTTCCTGGATTTTCTTAGGCATCAAATGGCCTGTTTTAACGAACTTGAAAAATTTTACCCTTTAGTGGATAATATGATCGCTTATTCGCACGTACCTGAGTAATTCGCTCCATTTGTCCAAAGTTCCAAGTCCACTCCTCTTTGTTACATATTGCCATCTACTTATTTTAGTCCTTTAATTGAATGGAACCAAACAGGTACATTTACACTGGGTTTTTACAATTAGTTCTGTACGAATTTATAAATCATCATCGTCATTATCATCATTGTCGTCATTAAAAGTTGAATTACAAATTCTCGCCCACAACTGACGCGTCTCCACTCTCCCGCGGTCTTACGGTAACGCGAGGTATGAATGGGAGACGATGAGTGTGAAATTGTGTTTTGGTGCAGCCTAAATTAACGTGATAATTTGGATATATCAACAAAGTTGAAATGGTAAATTGGCCACCGTAACGATTACAAAAGCTGACGTTTCGAGCGTTAGCCCTTCGTCGGAGCGAATAGAGGAATTGTGGGTTGTGTGTGCTTTAAAGGCAGAAAATGGAGCTACGTTATTGGTGGGAACATGGCAACGAGAAAAACAAGAATAAATTAGTGGAATGAAAAGCGTTCGTTGATCCCTGTGGGATTTAGACTGCCGGTTTGAAAGATGAGCTTTTGTTCAAGATTTTTACGGCTTACCGTGTTACCATTTTAATTTACCTAAGTGTAAGGAAAGACTGCAGATTGCCATATGTTGCTTAGAATGATTAGGTAAATTAAAATGCCTAGCGACTGGTTTCGATGTGTCCTTGTCATTCCTTTTTACGTCCCGAAAGTGTTCTCGGAATCGGACCACCTAGTCTTCTACCTGTTTCGCCGATGTATATCTTTTTGCAATAAGTGCAAGTTATGCAATTAAATTAACGTGAGCTTACCTCTTAAACTCTTTCATGGCCCTGAACTGCTATGGAAGATGCTTTCACAAAATCTTACGGAGAACTTGCTTCTACCTCTATCCGTGCTCGCAAAATTGTGCTAATCGTCGGTGTAAAAACCTGTGAAGCTCACGAGTGACGTAAAACAAAGAAAACAAAACATGATAAACAATAGCGTAGAGCAAAACAATACCTCGTGAAACAAAGAAAACCTCGTCAGGTTTTTACACCGAGGATGACCCCAAAATTGTGTCACTAACAAGGCGAGCCTGCTCAATAGAGGAGAAATGAGAAAATGAGCCTTTCGAGTAACCAGCCAGCGGTTCACTTAAAGAAGAAACCAACATGGCGGCCCAATCTGATCGAGAAAAACACAACATATGGTGAGCCAATCTTTTCTTATTTATCACTCTTTTGAACAAATTTTACTAAAATCCAGCCGAAATTTATCATGGTCTTTCTTAGCATGGTATCCGATTTCTTTTACCCAAACATGGGCGGAGTAGAGAGTCACATTTATCAGCTGGCTCAGTGTCTCATTCAACGAGGACACAAGGTAAGCTGAAATTCATCGTGTTTTGTTATCTGCAAAATTCCATCAGAAGAGAGATAAAAACAACCATTAGAAACCGTTCTTAAAAGACTAAATTTTAAGACTGAATTTATTCTCATTCAAATTTCCATTTCGTTTCAATCGTTATCGCAATACAATCATGGTTAGGGGATTCCCTGGCCATCGAAATTTTCTCTTACCTTGCCTGCTAGCATTTAACTTGATTCCTTCCATAAAAATAAGTTCAAGGAAGATTTTCGTGTTTCGATAAAATCTGTGATAAAATCGGACGTCAGCCACAGGCGGTTTACACTGACATACGAGTGTGAAAAGTATAAATTTTCACTTCAGGTCGTAGTTGTAACACATGCCTATGGCGACCGAAGTGGAATCCGTTATCTGACAAACTATCTCAAGGTATGCAACAGCTCCTTTGACATTTTTGTAAAATGATTTTTCTAAATCTTGATTTGGTGAAGTTGTTGTTTTTCGTCGTAATACCACACCAAGCCAAATGGAGTGTAAAAAATTCCAAGCAACATGCAAGCCAATCCACTTAAACATCAAGTGGCAACATTGGGATCAAAACATTGCACTTTCGTTAACTAAATGATGAACACATTGTTTACTTTCATGTTCTGTCTTCTTAAAGGTTTATTATTTACCTTTTGGTCCATTTCACAATCAGTCTTCATTGCCAACTTTGTACACAACAATTCCATTAATGAGATGTGTGTTTCTGCGGGAGAAGATAACTATAGTTCATGGACATTCTGTAAGTCATTGGTTTTATTAACATTATTGATATTTTATTAGTATTCTTATCATAATAGTTATCCTTCAAGTATTGGCTATTGGCAAGATTTGATACAAAAGGAAAATAAAAATTATGCGGCCAAAAGAGACAGGAGACATCAGGGCAAAAAATTCAGATATTTTCTCTCATTTTCAATCTCTCTATCTCATTTTATAACATAACCAAAGTAAGGCACGTGTTCTGATTGGTCAATTTAGCATCCCCCATTTGCCCATGGGTGTACGCTACTGACATGAGCAAAGGCATAGACTATTTTTCCTCGCGCGCTTGTTTTTTCTGGTCATGTAACATTTGTTAAATAAAAGGGAACTCTTTAGCTACAATGTATTAATGTTATGTTAAAAAACAAATGGTAAACACCACAGCGTACGCTATTGAATTATGGATGGACTTGGGAGGTTTGCTAAGCTCTCAAGAAGCTAGAGTCGCTCTCGGCTATCGCCTCAAGCGACTCTTATGCTTCTTTCGTGCTTAGCAACCTCCCGTGTGCATCCATAACTCAATAGTGTATGCTGTGATGTTTACCATTTGTTAATTCTCCAGTCTTTTTCTGTACCATCTGCCTTTCTGTAATTGTACCAAAGGTCAGTGTCAATGTATTTTCTGTCTCTTTTCTTTCCCAGGCTTTTTCTACTCTTTGTCATGATGCTCTTCTTCATGCCCGCACTATGGGACTTCGCACATTGTTCACTGACCATTCTCTGTTTGGTTTTGCGGATGCTAGCTCTATCATTACTAATAAGTTTTTACAGTTTTCCCTAGCAGACATTTATCATGTGATATGTGTATCACATACAAGGTTTGTAGTAACCTTAATTTTTTATAATTGCATCTCATTTATTTCATGATAAATGTTCTTTGACTTCAAATCATTTGTGTAAAATCAAAGCAATTTAAATTGTTTTTTACCAAGAGGTCACCACTTAGGAGGTGATGAAAAAATTGAATGAAACGTAGGTGGGCTACTTCAGATAATTAATGCTCTTAATTGCATCAAATATTTCTTATGATGAAGCAGAGTTGATCTCACAAGAGATTCTCATACGTTTGTTCTGCCAGGCCAGTTATTTTTCCTGTCTGGGGTATATATTGTGTTCATTTAAGCCCACATTAGCTGCTCTTTGTTAACCTTGAAGTTGTTTACCTCCCTAGTAAGGAGAACACTGTGTTGCGTGCATCAATGAAACCTGAGATGGTATCAGTGATTCCTAATGCTGTAGATGCCAATGTATTTGCACCTGATGTTTCAAAGAAGATCCCTGGGAAAAGTGAGCTGTTGAAATAAATGTTTTATCATTAATTGAAGTAAATTATTTTTTTATAAAGATAATTTAATAGAAAGTCAAACCTGTTTGAAGCAGTCACCCTTGGTAATTGCAGGTGATTGCTTAGTATAGGTTAACTGCTTAATACAGCTTCCACAGCATAGGGGTAATACTGAAAAAACAACAGAGAACATAATTTATGCCATAAATGATCACTCCATGTACAAAATTTTAAGGGGAAACAAATTCAGGGCTTAGCCAACCTACAGCTTAATACAGGGTTACTGCAATATGGTGCAGCTGAATACAGGTTTGACTGTAATATAATTATACCTTTTTTTGTTCAGTCACTATTGTGGTAGTCAGTCGGTTGGTGTATCGAAAAGGTATGGATTTGTTGGCTGGAATACTCCCCATCATGTGTGCCAATCATTCAGATGTCCAGTTTATTATTGGTAAGTCCACACTGAAGAAGATATTTTAAGGCTTTTTACCAGCTCAAGTTGATCTTTGTCAAATTGTTGTGTCATGATTATGCAACAACATATTATTACATAGTTGTCTTTGTGACAAGTTCTTGAGCACCTTCTGCACAGCTCTTAAAAATTGAAGTCTTTTCAATGAGAGATTGATGGAAATCAACTAAAGGACGTGAAAACTTGAATGAAGAAAATGTTTGGATTGATGTAATCAAGTATACTTATATTTTGTTCATATTGTTGTGTAGGTGGTGAAGGCCCAAAGAAAGCTCTCCTGGAGGATGTTTGTGAACAGTGTAAACTCCAAGAAAGAGTACAGTTTTTAGGAAAATTAAAACATGAGAAAGTTAGGGATGTAAGTTTATAACTTCACTTTCTACCATGGATTATAACATAACCAAAGTAAAGCGCGCGCTCTGATTGGTCAATTTAGCGTTCCCCATTTGCCCATGGGTGTACGCTGCTGACGTGAGCAAATGCAAAGACTATTTTTCTGCGCGCGCTTGTTTTTTCTGGTCGCGTAAGATTTGTTAAATAAATGGGAACTCTTTAGCTACAATGTATCAATGTTATGTTATAAAACAAATGGTAAACACCACACCGTACACTATTGAGTTATGGATGCACTTGGGAGGTTTGCTAAGCACTCAAGAAGCTAGAGTCGCTCTCGGCTGTCGCCTCGAGCGACTCTTACGCTTCTTTCATGCTTAGCAACCTCCCGCGTGCATCCATAACTCAATAGTGTACGCTGTGGTGTTTACCATTTGTTAAATGTTAAGAATTTTCCATCAAATTGTAGATGAAATTCAAGCTTTTAGTACAGACCAAGTTCATGAGTGTTTCAAATTATTTCCAATTCCCTACTAGGTGCTTACTCAAGGTGATATATTTCTTAACACATCATTAACAGAAGCATTTTGCATTGCCATTGTTGAAGCAGCTAGTTGTGGGTGAGTTTTAAACAACAGCATTTTTCTTACTGATAACAGGTAACCCAGGCTCACTGTTTGTGTCATGTACTCATGGTTAAATAGAGAGAACATATGGGGCAAAGTTAAGGTCTGGAAATTTGCTTGAAAATGAAAATAAAAATCAATGAAACTTACCAGGTGGCAATTTGTTCTTGTCCTTACTATGTACACAAAGTTTCGGGAAAAATACTCTTCTTCACCTTTCCTTCATATTAAGGACAACAACAAATCACCACCTGGTAAGTTTCATTGATTTTTATTTCCATTTTCAAGCAAATTTTCAGACCTAAACTTTGCCCCAGTGTTCTCTCTATTTAACCATGTGTATGTGACACAAACAGTGAGCCTGGGTTACCTGTGGTCTGACAAGAGATTACAATGAATTTTTACTCCAGGCTCCAGGTTGTCAGTACCAGAGTGGGAGGGGTCCCTGAGGTACTACCTGATGACATGATAAAACTTGCTGAACCAAGCGTCAAATGTAAGTTTAATGTCCCTAAGAGTAAAGGAGTGCATGGAAAAAACCCTGAGTGACCTATGATGGACTGCTTCTTTCTCACTGGAAACTGTCTTGTATTCCCTCAAAAAAACACAAGGAGAATCTGATTTTGCATCTCAAGTCACTTGGAGCTTTTTGCCTCACCACAGCAAGTGTACAGTACATGTTAATCATGTGAAGAAATAATTTATTCAAAAAAAGATAAAGTATTTATTATAAACGTTACGGCTCCCAACTTCATTACTCATTAAGACCTGTCTCATAGATCTTTTTTGCCTCAATAGAGGGCTATACAGAAGAAGACTTAAAACTGTTTTTTATTGAACAAGGACAGCAATTTTACGAAAATAATCATGAATAGATATACCTCTAAAACATTACCATGGTAAAAAAGATTTAACCTGAGAAGCCATGGCAAATTTGTCTGAAAGTGGTCTGAACAATTACAGTTGACATGAATGTGATTATGTTAGGATGTAATTTGTAGATATACTAGTAAAAGCAGAAGTGAGATTTGTAATTACAGTTCAGTCCCGGTAGTGATAAATTAGTATCGATGATTATTATATGGCTGTGTCTCACAAGGACTGGGAACTACTGAATTCATGAATTTGATTGGCTGAAATCAATATTGAAAGCGGTCTAGATTTTCCCATCTAGACCAGTCTGGAAAAAAAAAGTATGTAAAGAATATAAAAAATTGGCATATAAGACACAGTCATATAATAAACATCTTATTAACCAAGCTAGGTCGGTCTGTACGGGAGAATCTTGACCTCGGTCGCTGGTACAGACCTCACTGCATTCGGTCTGTACTGGAGTGTCATGGAAGCTCGATTCCGCTGCTCTCTCGGGTCCAGTCTTTTCTCCGGTTCCCGAACAGGGGCTGGTAATCGAAACTATGCCGTTCCTTCCAGTGAATAATAGCTTGAATTGGACGAAGGAATTTTTGATTTAACAATGTTTTCAAATTCTTTACCAGTGTGAAAGCCTCTATGCACGAACTATTGATGGTGTGCCTGTTTTGGAAACATTGTGTTAGAGAAAATCGTGAAGCGTGAAAGCGAAAATTCAAAGGAGAAATTTGATGCTTATAACTGAACTTGTTTCTGTTCCAGAATGCTGTTAAACATATTGAATGTGTTCGAAGAGACCCGTTGAACCATCTGTACAAGAAATTATCTAACCAGCGAAGCTTTAAGTTGAAAAAATAGTATTTTTCAGGATGGTCTCAAGTTAAACGACCAACAAATTAATACTAATTACACTTAGATTAATAATTGTAACATACCGTATTTCAGCTCTGGTGGCAGCTCTGGAAAGCGCTCTACAAGCTGCTAGAAACAATACAATTGTGCCGCCAAACACAGCCCATGAACGAATCAGGACAATGTACACATGGCAGAATGTAGCTAGACGAACAGAAAGAGTAAGTTTACACTTTCTTTTAACTAATTTTCCTCAGTAACTGTAAAATTTAAAAGCTCTCCAATTTCCACGCGCTTTGCGCGGGAAAACTTAAAAAAAAGCAATAACGAGTGAGAGGCATTGTGGTTTTTACTGTCAGGCTACGTCATCCGTCAGTCTGGTTTCCATAGTTTCTTCTTCCATATTTGGGAAGTAAGCCTTGAGATTCACCCTCAGGTTTAACGGTATGTAAACTGCGTGATGCACAATGACATGGAAACACTTTATAGAGAGGAGAAACGAAACCTTTATAGCGACAACGATTTTCACGAGTGCCTCTACTCTCGATGAGGGTTTGTCAATCGATATTAGTTATTAATGGATAGTTTATTTGCCTTTTTGTTTTTCAATGTGTTAGGTCTATGACTTGGTTAGCGCCGCACCTCATGTTTCATTTGAAGAGCGACTCAAAAGGTAACACGCACAGCAGTTTCAAGCAATTATCAACCTAGCTTGTCATTTGAAAGCAAAAGTTTTTTAACTTTCTTGATTTATATTCCGGCAAGACTTTTTCAAGACTTTGCCATCAGGTACTTTTCTTCTCCTTTTGGATGTTCTTTTCATTTATTTTAGTCTCAATAGCATTTTATCGTTTTTAGATTATACCACTGCGGCCGTGTTGCAGGAAAAATTTTCTGCGTTTTAGCAGTTATTGATCTGTTTTTACTATGGCTTCTCGAATGGCTTTTTCCGAGAAAGGTAGGTGCATATAACGAAGCTTGATTTTATCGAAGGTATCCTTGAACCTGTCTGTTGTTCAGACTTGTGACTGTCACGTGAAGCTTGTGGTCCAGCTTTTTTGCACTCAACTCCACTTTCCTCAGTCCCCCGCTCTCAATCTGTTATAGTCTTAAGATTTAAGTGTAATTTAAAGACAGACCCTTTAGTAGATAAGGTTGTTTACTCTCATCGCCTGTTGTCCTGAAGCTCATTTTTTTCTGCTTCATTTTCAGAATATGGATATTGCGCCCTCTTGTAAAGAACAACAAGACAAATGGAATTCAAAAGACGAAATCATAACATCCGATGAAAGAGTGTCAGTGACCGGCAGAAAAACACAAATCGATTGTTCTCTCGTGAGATAACATTTTCAAAATGTACGGCCGGCATAGATCGAGGAGACAAACAAACGAGGCGAAACGACACGGTTAAAACTGCAAATAAAACAGCGGACGGAAACCTATAAACCTATAAACCGCCGTCCAGTTAGCCCAATGGATAATGCGCTGGACTGTTGTGCGGGAGATCGAGGGTTCGAGCCCCGGCCGGAGTAGTAGAGAAGAGTAGACATCTATAATTATACAAGATAGCCCCTTCAGTGTAGTAAACACTTGTATAAACGGGGGTCCTGTTACCCACCCATCCCACCCCAGGGGAGGACATCCATCACACAGTAATCTCGTGTGTGGGAAATTAACGTCTCCTGCCCCT